TCAAATACAGGCCAACTTGGCGGAAGTGCTTGGGGATTTTGCACCTAGCCACATCAGCTTCCCGTCACCTGATTTAGTGTGGCTTCCAAGCTTCTACTTGGACATAACGGTTTTCAATTCGCTCTTCTGATTGGAGGAGACCTTTGTTTCCTGTCCAGCATTCTTGCGTGAAGAAATATCAAAACCGCCTGCTTTCTTCCCGCCGGTTCAAATTGTGTGTTCGGGAATCTTCTTGCCGTGCACGTAACCCCATGCAGGATATTTGGGACCATAAGTGCACACGAAATGAAAATAAACCACAAGAATAATTAATTCCCGTCGATCCCGAGCCGATCCAGCCGACAAACTCAACTTCCTCGCTTCTGCGAAATATGGAAGCACAGAGTTTTCTTGCTAGGGGCTAGATGCCATCCGAATTGCATCCGCCCACCTCCACGCAAGGGCATCAAGATTTAACATCTGCCGGACGGGAGGTCTGACATAGTTCCTCAAAAATGGGCTGGATTGGTTCAGACACACAATGAAAGATCTTCGACGGCTAGGGAGAGGATTTGGCCTTATTGCTACCCTCTATTCAGAAGCCATCTAATGAGATCGACATTTTAATTGAGTTACGGAATCGCTTGTTATTGTTCTTTTTACGCCACCCTTCCCTCTCAAGCTCAAATCCATGCTCTACCTATTACTGTACCTATCTACTAATCAATTCCCCTGGCTCTAGAAAATAGAAAAGGTATTAGAGATATCACTACTAGGAACCGAAAAATAATTAAAATTAAAATTAAAACAACTTAATAATTGTTAGCTCCTCAGAATCAGAGTTTAGATATCCCACAGAGGCATCTATGTATTATTTTAGCTACTGATTGATGGTTAATTGTAACTAACTCGCGCGCACAGCACTGCTGAAATAAGTGTAGTCACGTGGCATTCTAGCGAGCACATTCTTTTATCGGACACAAGCACTCGAATGTCAAATCAAATCAACCCAATTTGGTGGAGAATGCTACATCGTGGTGACCCCATCATTTTGCTTTCTGAGATCTCGCTCCATATACCACTCATTTGTATAGACCGGATGTTAGGATGTGTGTGACTAGGTCTCTCAACCAATTCTACACAAATGTAGACAAGGAAAAAGAAACCTAGAGCTACAACCAGTTACTGTCCGTGGGCAGATCGACAACTAGGGATCAGACTGTGCCCTCCATCTATCTACCCCTATATTGCGTACAAGGTCCTTCCCGCCTCTTTTTGCACCCTCTTTTCTCTCAACGCTAGCATAGCATGCATAATGGAACATTTTCAACCTTACCACTCCTTCTCGACAGATTTTCACCGTCACCCCCTTTTCTATCCTAAAAAAGTAAAATATACCTACTAGTAAATCAACTTTCTATTATCTCACCTGTTCCCGTTCCATCCCGTGTAGCATACAGGCGCCATGGAAAGGTAATATGTACCTAAGCCAAGGTACCCCGAGTGCCATGGTACGGAATAGACTAGAACTAATATCGAATCTTTGACCAATATTCCGTGTTTCATTTCTTATTTGGTCATTCCAGAAGGAGCTTAGTAGTGGTAGGCTTCCTCAGTTAAAATTTGTCGACTAGTTACTGCGAGTGAAACAACACTTCTTTTTGAGCAAATAATACATTCCAAATATCCATCGAACTAGGCGCCTCTGTTCTTTCTACGGCGGCAAAACCGGCTTGTTTGCAAAATCTACGGAGTACCGTGTACCGTAACACAAGCATATGAGTAATGGCCAATCCATATAGACTTTGGCTCTGACTCCTGACCCTGGGAAGGTGGCTGGGAAAGGGTGGTAGGATGCAGGGGCTAGTTTGATACATGGTATTCAAATGTATAACATGATAAAGGTAGTATCTAATGTACTGTATGTACATACATGCCCTCAGAGTTCAGTTTCCCTTTTTCAAAAAATTTGTTTTAGAGGATGCAGACCTCAACCTTTGGAATAAGCAGCGATCTGGAGTAAAGTGCCATACATCAAATAAGCCCACATATATGCCCGACTATCAGGGGTATGCATGGTAAGTGTACGGCAAGCGGTTTTGATTTTCGTGGGTTTCACAGATATAATAAAGAACGCTGAAGCGGGTGAAGTTTCACATGGCAAAATAAGATTCAAGGATACGATCACCAGTGTCCGAGATAAGCGCACGCCTAAAATGTTAGCGGGTAATCCTTGAACACTTATAATTCCTCCTTGATGAGGGGTCAAGGAATTTACAGTTAATAATTAATTTTCGCTTCCTGTCTGTGAGGAGTTTCCTCTTCCAGCCCAATGGTGCACTCATCTGCTCGCCACAACATTGGAAGACTCCGTCCTCCTGAGTTGACTGTCAAGTTCACTGGGGTGACAAAGTGCAAGGCATTCTCAATATTTTGAATGGTGTCTGATAAAATATCAATTCGGCATGCCCCACAGTGTATGTACGAAACCGGCTTTGGACTGGGTACATGAGCTGCCATGTTCTGTATGCGCTCGATGGGGATTGGACGCCGGCTATGCCATTCCAAGGTTCTTTGGAATAATGCCTCGTGCACCAGAAAATAGGGCCAATGAGTTGGCCCACCCAACCTCGGATTTAGTTAGTATGTCAATCATATCTTCGGGACAAAATCCGTGTTCGAAATGGCTCTCCCACGTCTTCTGAGTAATTGATTTCGGGGAGCGGTGGAAATAATCGAGAGTAAATAATAGAGCCATCCATTTCATCGAAAAGAGGCTGAAAGAGTCAAGCGAGCACACTCTAGCCAACCGATCCTATGCCCATCTAGAACGTGGCGAAAAAGATTGCATACTGGGCTTTCCGGGTGGAGAACGGGAATGCCGGCCGTGTCTCTTTTTAAGTCGGGATGTTGCTGAGAATTATTGTGGTTTAAAACAAGCATCAAATAAATAAAGAGAAAAAAAATTAACAAAATTTCAAAGTTCTCTCTCTATACCCCTTTCAGCATGACGTCAGCCCAAAGTCGCTGGTAACATGGTTGGCCCGGAATTTGCGTTCAGGTTGTAGTTCAAGATTCCAAAGCAATGAATTGGATTTGGGTTTTCAGCCGGAATTCTTCCATCGGGGATCCAACTGCACTGAACGCTGGTCTTTTAAGTTGGACAGCGTCCACATGACAGCGAATTCCCTCCTCATTAGCCCCGATTAGACTTACTGTTTCTCAGAACCCGTGGTATAGAGTGATGTACGGATCAATTCGATGTTAGTTATATAACTATATATGATGGAACTAGTTTGAGTGCGGTTTAGTCGAGTGGAATGCTTGGCAGGAGTTTAGCAGGCGGCTCAAGTTCTTGGCAGAATCCTCCTCCGCGACCCGACATTCTGGATCTCTCAAGTCTCTCGCCGGTCGACATATCTTCCTTCGAGACTTTCTCCTTTTCCGCACTAGGTGGTGGGTTATGCTTATTGTGATGGGATCTAATGACCCCGAAAAAGTATCATCTGGGGGAGGCAACTTTTAACGACTTCAATTCGCCGCTCTGTTGGTGGGAAACATCAAAGTTGCGCCATCCCCATATCCAGATGATGGATAGTCGCGGCCAGATTTCTACAGTTCCCAACCACGACGTCATAGCCCTGGACCAGAACAACCAAGCACAGAGTTTTTTTTTTTGCTCAACCAAACTTCGAGGATATTCCGCACTTCCCTCGACCTGTGCATGTCATATATTGGTTTCCTGTCTCGGAATTTTTCCCGTCGTATGCAATTGCCCCTTTTTTGGGTCGATTTTATGTATTCATTTATTCAATAGCTGTTTTTTGTCGTTCTGCGTCCCTTTGGATCTTCAAATTCCTCCATTTCCACCCATACTCTTCTCCAGATCGGGTCTGGCTCTTGATGTATTGCTAAGATTCCCTCATGGCTTCGAATACCCAGGCGACTGCCCCATATACGATCCTAATCCTAGGCGGCGGCATTGCAGGCATTGCTTCCGCTCTCGCGCTGTCTAAAACCCTCACTCCTGTGCTTCCGAACCTCAAAATCATCATCTATGAGCTACGAGACGTTCCTTCAACTTCCGGTGGCGCGATCAACCTCACACCCGTCGCCCATAGGCACCTCGATCATTTAGGTGTGCTCGATGAGCTGCAATATTTGGGCCCTCAAGGGGGCGTGGAAGTGGACGAGATAGAGATTTTTTCCTCGCATAGTGGCAAAAAAATGGGAGCGGTTGACTTTGCAGGCAAAGACGGCAATGGCTATGGTGGTTATAAGGGTCGACGAATAATGCGCATTTGTCTCCATCTGGCTTTGATATCCGCCGTGGAGAAACGGAGTAATATTGAAATGATGTTCGGGAAAAAGGTTGTAGGCGGCATCGAGACGGACAAATGTGTCACAATTTATTTCGAGGATGGCACTTTTGCGAAAGGCGACTTGGCTTTGGGGTGCGACGGTGTGCATTCGGCTACGAGATCAACCATTGTTGATCCCGATAGAATATCGGAGTATACGGGGATTTCGTTTATTCAAGCCACGATAAAATCGGAGATAATAAGGTCGTCCAAGCACTTCAGCGTCACAGCGCTCAACAGATCGAGGCATGGGACGATGTTGACGACCTATTGCGATAGTGAAAAGGAAAATATGTTCGTGGCAGCATTGGCTGAAGTCGATGAGGCACGGTTGACCTATGAAATATGCAAATATCAGGCGTCGGATTCGTGGAAGACAAAGAGCACCGCGGTCATGATCTTGAGGGATGATATTCAGAATCGCTTCGGGAAATCAGCAATTCCGTGCATTCGCGAGATTGCAGAAAAATGCTGGGATTGGTTTCTGTATCCAGTGTATCAGATACATCCCGGAGGGAAATGGTATACGGAAAGGATCCTACTGTTAGGTGATGCAGCTCATGCTGTGCGTATACATATCTATTTATCCCTCTTCATCTCATCATCCACCTGCCCAAAAAATAAAAATTCAAAAAAAAAAAGATTTTCCGTTGGCAACATATATCAAACTAACTCTGGTTAATGATATTCTTGTTTCGCAGATGCCCCCCAAAGACGAGTCAGCCGCCTACGCCCTGGATGACGCCATCCTCTTCGCCCGCGTCCTGACAAAATACATCCACGAACCCCTCTCGGAAGCCTTCCGCATCTACGAATCCATCCGTCGTAAAACCATTGACCACGCATACAAAACCGCCTGTGAAAATTGGGCCCACAACAAAGATAGCGGCCGTCTCTCGAACCTGCTAGCGGAATGGATCACGCCCCTTAGTCTAATGCGGCAAAAGAAGAAAATTACAAGCGCGTGGGTATTTGATGCTATGAATGTTGATATATCCCCCCCGAACCCAGCGTCACGCCAATCAACGGCTTCAACAGTTCGTTGATGTTTTGGCTATATCCCCCGCTTGTCCTGTTTAATTTTAAATTTTTTTTCTAATTATTTTTTTTCCCCTTCTGGTTGGTTTCACATGCCCTTTTACCACCGGAAGAATGAAATAATTGCATCTCCCCCTACCTTTTGCATTCCTGCTACAAATAGGAGTGGTACTTGTTTATTATTCCACTTCCAATACACCTGTATGATACCATGTTTGTTTATATCCCCATCAGGGGGTATACATGAATATTCCATATGACTTTGTATTAATAGGGGTTAATATACACGTATGTCTTTCTATTTCTCCAGCTGGTAGTGATTTTTATAAGCCAATTCTCGCTAGAGAAAGCTAAGTTATTTGCACACAATGCCCTGGCCCGAGAGAAGCTGAAAAGGCCAATGGTTTATCCTGTTTCCGAAGAGATATATATCACTTTCGGGGACAACGCTCCGCTAATATGTAATCATTGCCCTCTACTATTTTGTACCAATGAGCGTGAACTGGGTCAACATGAGGAATCCGCGCCGTCACGATATGTCCCACCGGCCAAGACGATTTTGCACGCATCATTACCTCCTGTCAACTGGACGTTGAAGTTGGCCGGCGCTCCTACGAAAAAGGTCTTCGTGCCGCGTGCATATGCACTAGACATAGCTACGTGTACCTATGTGAACGCCAGTTAGGATGGATTTTAGCAATGAATTAACATGCCACTTCTCAATCCTCCTCAGTGTCATACATATAATAAATAAGAAGTGCCTTGAAGCAAGTGCTAACTCTCATATGTTCATCTTTTGTTTGCCCGATCCGCAGCTTTGGGGAAGTCATGCCAGAAACAATTTAAGATGGCATATAGAACTACGAAATACGGAGCTTAATCGGAGCTTTGCCAAGGGTTGAAAATTTCCCCGCCGCGATATAGAAATACTAGAATATTATATATATATATATATATATATATATATAGGCGCGCGCCTTATTCCTGCAAATGTAGGGAAGTTCAGATGCACAGCTTCTGGTGTCCATCATTTCTAGCTAGCAGAGGAGCGTCAACTTTTTCACTGACAGCAAAAAGTGGAAAGGCCTGCCTATCCATGGATAAGGCTACCGTGAAATGAGCTTGGTATGGTCCCTGAATGGCGTAACGGAGTCTAAGCGCGAGTACCAGCGGCTTCCCCTTCCTGAACCACCTAGTAAATTTGCCACATCACATCAAAATCGCCACTGAGGATCATAAGTATAGGAGGAATTGACTTCGATGGGGATGAGGCTAATAGATTAATTAAACCCGTAGCACTAATTTACAGAAAACCAGAACAATTTACTTAGGGCTGATAAGGGTAGGGGGTTGGGGTGGCGTGGAGCTGATCGAATGAGTATCATGAAACTTTATATAGGGGATTAAAAACGTCAAGGGAAGGAAAGAAGACTAGTACTAGTACAGACGAAAATGATCTTGTTCTAAAGAGCCTCCTTCGAGATCTACCATCCAAGATCTATCGGCGTGTGATCAAACAAAAAATTTAAGGAAAACAAACACCGAATTCTCCATAAACTGGTTGATGCCAAAGAGAGCTACATAACCTGATCATAGAATTAATGAAACATTTACCCGATTTCTAATTTAGGCTGTGGTTGATTTTTCGCCAGTGGAGGCCACGCCCTCCTTAGCGTTCGGCGCTGTCGAGGCGGGATTTGCCTGGATGGCCTGCGGTTGCTTTGTCTTCCGGATATCGACCCAACCCAGGCCCCAGCCAAACGCAAACGTGACTACGCCGGCCCCAATGCCAAGATACATGACATGGCTAATTGCCGTGGTGTAGCACTCAAGCGCGGCTGTGAGCTTATCGCCCGAAACGATGCTTCGGATTGATGTGACTCCGCTCCTGAGGATGATGTCTGGGTCGATGCCAATCTCATCGATGTGATTCTGGAGCTCCTTGAGCAGGCCGTTCGTGAAGATGGAATTGGCAGCAACAAGAAAGACAGCACCGCCCATGTTTTGACAAAAGATGATGATAGCCATGGCAATTGGGATCTGCGGAGGGGGGACAAGATTTTGGATGGCGATGTAGGGCTTTGGTTAAAATAAGGTTAGAACAAAAACATGATTTGGGATGTGGAGGAGATAGAATATCGGGGAAGTGGGCTCACCGCCGATGACATAGCACCGCTACCAACCCCATAGAGGATTTGATACCCAATCCATTTTGAGGGTGATGTCGTGGGTTTAATCATGGACATGAGGCCGTATCCAATAGCAACAGCTGCGCTTCCTCCCAGGCTCCAGGGAAGGTAATAACCCAAGATCTCAACTGCGAAACGTTAGTCTGATGACCGCTTTACAAAAGACGAAAGGGGATCACGAACTCATCATTCCAGAGAGCATGGTGAAAATGACTAAGCCTAATGTTGTTGGTAGTAGATGCACGCCGCTCATTATAGGCCTGTTGCCGAGCACAGTTTGGAAGTAAATAGCGAGGTAGTACTCAGCCACCAAAATGGCACCGAGAAGGAAAAATAGGTTACCCGCAGCAGACCACACAATGTGCTTTCTGATCATGGCAAATGGTAACATGGCGCCGTCCCCCTGGAAGTACTCCCAGACAAGGAAGAGGATAAAGGCAATAACAGCGCCAACCAGAAGACCGATAACTACAGAGCTATTCCATGGGTGCTCAGTACCGCCATATTGCAATCCAAGTAAAAACATGACCGCCGCAGGGCTAATGAGCATAAAGCCTAGAAGATCGAGAGATTTGACGGCGGTGCCAAGGACTTGCCTTGGTGGCAGCTTCGTGGTTGGTTCCGGTATCTTGACTAGGGCTAAGAGAAGGGCGAGAGCAGCACCAATGGGAAGGTTAATATAAAAACCTACAAGGAAATACAAGGATTAGCCATAAGATGATATTGACAAGAGTCATTGAGGAAGAAAAACGGCACAACCACTTACACCAACGCCAGGTAACATTCTGGGTAAATGTCCCGCCAATGATGGGACCCAAGGCGATACCGAGCTGGCCAAGCCCGAGGTTGATGCCCAGAAACTGGGCTTGTTTCCTGGCCGGGAGTACAGCTGAGATGATGGTTAGGGCGCCGTTTCCAATACCAGACGCGCCAGCACCGGCAATGGCTCTGCCGACAATGAACATGGGCGACGAGACAGCGGTGGCACAGATGACAGATCCAAGCTGGAAGATAAAGAAGAAACCGAGAAAGGACCACTGTCCCCAAATTAATTTAGTTTATTTTCGCTTTGGTCTCTATTTCTTAAGGAGCAAAATGACCTACCTTGATCTTAAAGTGGCTGTAGATCTTGCCTGTGAGAGGTTGGAGGGCGGAGTTGCCGAGCTGGTATGCGCCACCATACCATCCGATGTCGACTAAGGAGCTGAATTGCCGTGTGATAGCTGGGGCAGCGGTCGACACAACACACATGTCGAGAAAAATGAGAAAGTAGGCGATTGTGACAGGACCTAGGATAGACCATGAAGCTAGGCCTGTGGGAAACTTGTCATCCTCCGTGCCATTCTTCTTGGAGGCGATGTTATCGGAACCATCCTTTTTCAACATCACCAGCCTCCTCTGGCAGGGCCTTATCCGTATCAACCGATTTGTTGGAATCCGTCATAGTCGCAATCGTAGGCCGTGGTCGTGGTCGAGAGGTTATGTCACTGGAGCTGGCACTAACTCTCCCCATCCTGATGTGAAGAATAGTGTTGGTTGTCGGCACTAAAGAGACAAATGTAGAGTGCAGCCACTGGAAGTTATATAAACACTAAGATAACTGTATGACTTCATGGAGTAGGAAGTGAGCCAGAGCTGAGAACCGGGGCCGGAATCTTGTAGGGAGCAACCCCTTTGATAATTAGGGCTAGTTGCCGAAGGCCGGGCCGGAATCTTAAAATCCGGTCATGAGTCCTATCCCTATTGGTCGACCAAACAGGGGTAAGTGATTTCTGTGAAGTTCAAATGCGAAGCTTTATAATCACTGGAGGGTTTGAGGGAGCACAATTGGCTGTAGTTTTCAACAGAACAGCTCAGAATTTGGAGATCATTGTAGCCTAAAATGATAAATGTCCGACTGTTCATTACTGAAAGCTCCTTTTGCTAGGTAGATCTCGGTCGTGAGTGACGTGGAGCCTACAGCCATAATCCCACAATTATTCATCAATAATGTAAGTAACATGCGGCAATGGGTTAAGCGCAGATCGCCGCCAAAGCAGGGAAGTGAGGGTATACCTGGGCAAGACTAAACATTGTGTTAGATTCAAGATTGCATACCGTTCTCAATAGTACGGATGACATGGAACGCATACCTGTATTAGCATTACAAATATGTCAAGGCGCTACAGAGTAAAGCTCGTTTGACCTTCATAGTCCACGAAAAACTGATCCAGCCATGACGTGGGACTCATCAAGAATTCTGCATGATGGCCATGTGCTAACACATCTTTATCTGCTTCTGTAGCTGCTACTTGAGCCGTATCATCATCTGTTCTGCTTCCTGCTTTATCTCCTGATATTTTTGCTCTCCGTGCGTCTTCTTGTTGGGTTAGAGGTCCTCTCTCTTGATAAGTCGGCTGAAACTTGCGTAGACTGCTGGCCAGTTGCGTGAATATGCCGTCGGCTGACGCTGGCTGCTCGCCAGCTGCAGCTGCAGCGAGCTCTAGCCTGTCTGCCGTGCTGGATAGCAGCATGGGCAGATCAACAAGCCTGTGGATAGTGGCTAGATCCCAACCAGGCTCCCGGAGCGTGCTGAGTCTGTGCAAAGTAGCCAAGCACCGTGACAACTGAGTCCACTGGATAAAAGATACGCCAAGGAGACCGGGTAGCGAGATGGTCAGAAATGTTGACGTGTACGACTTGATCGCCAGTGCCGACTGCCACAGGCAAGAGATGCGCGTAGGCCCACATGTCGGGGGTGGTGAGTGAGTGGACTCCTGGGCATGGATGGACTCGATAATGCACATCTCCGTGTAATATGTCTGAGCGAGGATGACTATTCATTGGTGAGCAACGATCACTGAGTTGATTGTATTTCCAAATATATGGAAACCTTTACTGGCTTGAACACCTACTGAAATGCTGCTGAAATGCTGGGGGTATAGAAACCCTGAGCTCTTGAAGCTGCGCCATCGAGCGTTTGATGTATAAGAGAGCCTGCAATGAAAGACTATCCGGTGGGGGCTGGTCGGGGAGTTGAGCTCGCTCCCGGACCTGGGCGGCTTTCATAGCCAGCAGCTGCAGGCGGACCTGAATTGATAGAGCAGCATCAGAAGCAAATTCTGTGGCGGCGCTGTGGCCGCTAGCGATAATGGCAGCAAGGCTCTCATCCATCTGAGGTATCCATCGTGGGGCATCAATATGGGGGAAGTGGGCTGAGACGGTCGACCCAAGCACAAAGCAGCCCAGAATGGCTCGCTGGCATTCGAGGTAGAACTGGTTATCGGTCGCAACGGCACCGGTTGTCCCCGTCGTTATCTCCGGAGTCGCCATCCAGGTGCCGTTCACCTCATTCAAGCTGCCGTTTGTTTCGAAGGGGCGTACCGTGCGCGTGATTTCTGGTACTGCTTGGTCCAGAAACAGCAAACCCTTGAGTTGCAATGTAGCCACAGCCATGAGTCGAGAAAGACTGCAATAGCTGTGAAGATGCTCCCAACCCCACGCAATGTAGACAAGTAGACCTAGAAGTAGATCAACGGTTTGGTGTTGTGGTTGCTGCCTTTCTTGTTGAAGAAATGCCGTCTCGTAAAGCAACCGCTTCAGCTCGAAGGAGCTTGCCCTCTTGTCTTCAGTCGATACCGATGTCACGCAAACAATGGCACGGAACAGAAAAGGCCTATCTTGCCACAGCTGTTCTGCCGTGACGCGGGTTGGCAAATGAACGAAGGGGAAATGGTGTAGCATACGCGACCGAAACGTATCAAGAGAGATTGATGCAGTCGAAGGAGATACGACGGGTGACATGAATGCGCCTGATATAGCAGAGGACTGCGGGGTGTCGCGAGGCATGCTGTTCGCATTGTCCATCGCCCACCAAGAAGTAAAGACACCGTCAGCGTTGGTAGCGGCATCACTTTTGTTTTCGCCGATAAAAGCTGCGCGCAAGTCCTCTGAATTGCCACCCCCTTGGGTCCTCTGTGTGATCGCATCGTCCGGGGATGGAATGATGGGGGAGGTTTGTTGCTGGTGTGGTGATTGCCGCTGCTGCTCCTGCTGTTCCTGCGACCATCCATCGACTCTGTCGCCGTGGATGTCGACGTCCACGTTGACATTGCCCGTCTTAAGAAGCGAGACTAGGTGGCCTACGGTGCCCTCAAGCTGCGCGATACGTGCACTTGGAGAGTTTTGCTTTTTACCGTTGCGGCGATATAGAGGATCGGCGGGATGGCATTCGCGCTCAAGACGATGGCACCTTTCTCAGATATGTCTTCGTGAGTGTTCGCACGTTCAGGGTTTGCAAATAGGAAAAAGTGATCAAAACGCAACCCAGACGGACCTTTCGCACCCATTGCCCCCTGGCCGAGGAATACATTTGCATTTGGTCCTGAAGCAGTTTAGACATGCCTTACCGTAACGCAATGAACGGTCAGCAATTCGTTGCTTGGTGGCCATTTCCCGGCCAGTCGGGATTAGTTATTTGAGAGTGATACCACTCAATCCCTCGATAAATGGAAACGGCCTGAGGTTGAGCTCCAGCAGAGATTGTCGTCGATGTGTTTGGAAGAGACAAAACACCCATCCGGTTGCCCACGTTTACTCTCCACTTAGTCGGTTTTGGAGCGATTTTCCAGACGACTGGGAAATTCACACATCTCTCATTGGTCGATATTTATTTCATTACAACGAATATTATGCGAGGGAAGCCGTGCCGAATGGGAAAAGGCGAAAAAAAAGTAGTTAATCATTGTCCACGTTTGACGGCTGACAAATGGAAAAAGAAAGCAAATACAAGCAGTAACTTATGGCTTGCGCTGGAAGCTCTTTTCGTTTTCTTATTTTGTTTTATTTCTTTTTCTTCTTTTTGCTTTCACTTTCCTTTCTTCCATCTCATTCGTCCTCAGCGTCCTCAGGTGCACACGGGAAAACGTGCTGCAAGCCTGCAAAGTATGAGGAATATGGTTGGCGGGTAAGGCTACTAGTGATTTCCAGTCGATGACATCAACAGATTAGAATCCAGAGTATGTACTCCGTAGAGTGGAACAACAATGTTCTTTTTTGTGAGATTAGAGGTGTGCGTGCCTGAATTTTGTATTTGGCCCGGGAACATAACTTTCCTGGTATCTGGATCCTGGTGATATTTAGATCCCGATGGATTCGAAGCTTCTGAAAAGGCTCTGCGAACTTGTGAACATTTTCCCCAGTTGTTTGTCTGCCATTTCGTTGACATGCATGGAGCCTATTGCCAGAGTGTATGAGCAAATACTCAGTATGAGCGCCCAAAAGCAGCACAGGAGCATATATTGTATTTTGTGCTGGCTATTCACGCTAAGTACGCATGCCTCATTCCCATGAACTGGATGCGAATGATTAGTTAAGGCATTGCAAAACCATCAATCATCGTTTCGAGAACGACAGATGAGATGTGCTCCGTTGACTGCTCTCTTTTTTTGCCAGTTTTGTTGAAGTTACAAATTGCGAAAGGAAATTAAAGCATTGACCATGTATTCCTACGGTATTAATTAATAACTTGGCTGCTGTGCATATTCTTCTGAGAATGGGGATCGGTTCCTGTTCATCAGTATTAGTGAATAAGTAAATATACCTCGCATTCGAACGATCTCATCAATCCCCCAAAGTTTAAATAAAGAAAAGTGAATCTTGCAAAGGTGGTGACGTTCAGGGTTCTTCCGACTTACCCTCACAAATTCTGCTTCAAGAGAAGAGTGGCGAACTTGAGCTTCGTCCCTCTGCTAAACTCGCCTCAGCTAGCGTTGGCTGGTGGTGAATCCAGCGCCCTTATTGGCTTCTGCTGCCAGCTGTGTCAGCGGTAAGTTGCGGGATTGGATCGCTTTCTGTGGAGTTACATCGATCCCGTTTCTCGCTTCCACTTCAAATCTCACTTTTTTGAGCCAGATCTGAAGGAGTTGAAAGGCTTGGAAGCGGTTCAAGATGCGCCAATATCTACCAAGCAATTTTGCGAACCCTCTCATCTCCAGATAAATGGAATTGTTGGTGTTTGTTCCCTTTTGTATGGCTGCAGATGATAAATCGTATAATAACATTCTTCCTGTCACAACTCCCGCCTGTCTAGCAAGAGGCTTTTCCATGACATTCCAGAGCATGGCAATCAATTTAACATCCCCGAACCAGCTGCTGGGTGGTGTTGACAAGACGAGCCATTGCATGGCAAGAAGCTCTTTATAGCTTCTCACGTGTAGGCAACGTGCGACGCAAATGGTGTCCCGGCTCCAAGGTGAGTTAGCCCGCAACAAAAATGGATAACTATTTCTTCGTGCCAGTTAAGAAATGGGGGGTGACATTGAACGATACGCTGTTCATGCCCAGCGTAATGTAGCAACGGCGCGTTTGAGCATTTGGTGCTTGCCAGGCTTATTCTGGCGTTGACTTCGGGAGGTGACAAAAATCCACACGAGCTCCCAGTAACATGGGCGCTTGAAACCAAGCCTGTAAGGTATTGATTCTCGTGTATCAATACGTCATTTATCGACTGGCTGAACAAGACGTTACAGTGGTTAGAACGCTTAACCTGGGGCGGTCTGTCTTCAGACTCTGGAGTACATTTTGTGGCTGAGATCACTGTTTCTCAATGGAATCTTCTGAATTTTCCGTGGGGAGTGAAATTGCGGAGATATCCATTGGGAATAGTTATGCGTTTCCAACTTCTTGAAGTCAAGCTGTTCGAGCTCTCTCTTAACACAAAATACTTATGTGCTGCCCGGGGCGGCCTGGGAGGATAAGATCAAGCATGCCGGCCAGCCGTATGTATGCTCCTGGGC